ATGCGCATATGCGTACTATGCGCATAGTGCGCATAGTACGCATAGTGATGAACTATGCGCGCATTTGCCCATCTCTAGGTAGACCCGTATTTTTAATAATATACGGTAACAGTAATAATGATTTTATCTTTCATTTGAAACATACAGTAGAACCGAAATACATGTATTTAGTACTATTCAATTAATCTGAAATGTTACTTTGTCTTTCATTTGAAACATACAGTAGAACCGAAATACATGTATTTGGTACTATTCAATTAATCTGAAATGTTACTTTGATTGAATATAAAACACCTGTAACATTTGGGCGTGATATTAATTTTGGAGTAAACATTTAAGTATATGCATAGGAATTTTTCTTGTAATTCTATCTCTGCCACTCTAATTTTATTTGTTTTAATGCAACATATTCAGTTTCCAATGACCATTGATGTGATAAAAGTCTCGAAGTTTCTCAACAGTTGGCCTGTTTTCTGGAATAAGATCCCAAAATTTTTCAATAATAATTTGAATATTATATCGTATGCGTCCGTGCTATTATTGATGACGCGTACAAATTACCAATTACATGTACATGTATTTGTTACTAATCTGCGCAGCTCTCTGATCTGCGCATACGTTTAACGCAAATCAATTACATGTATGGGTGTGAATGTTTTTTGCATTTTGCGTCCAATCTGCGCCGCAGACACTGATACCGATTCGTCTAGTAAATTCCAGTAAATTTTGATTTATCAGATATTTTAGTAATACAATGTACATTGCTGGAAAGTTCAATAAATATAGGTGACGTTGATCTGAAAAATCTATAAAATGTTCACGAGAAAAAATCAGTTTTTAAAAATCCAGTTATTAATTATAATATTAAATCTAGAAATAAAATCAATTATTTAAGCGAAAATTTTATACTACTGCTACTGATATATAACAAAGATGTTTACATTCATCCCAATCGAAACCAACCACGACAACCTGATCTTTCGGATCCCATTCAACAACAGTGAAAATTATCATCGTTATCCAACAACTAGCATATATTGTCACCCGCATGCCTACTTTAATCATGCTCCAACACGTCGACATGAAACTTATTATGATGCAAATAATCTAGAAAATATAGTTTCGGAATTAAAGCATCTAGAACGAAAAAGAGCTGAAGAAAAGGCGCTCTATGAGAAACGCCAACGTATTTATGCCGAACGTGAAAGAGAGATACGCCAACGAGCTTATCGACAGTGGGTTCTTAATCAACAAGCAAAACAAGAAGCCTTAAGGCACATTTTTGAGTTGAGAGCAGCTGCTGCAACACTAAATAAGAATCAAGATATTTATAATCATTCGTGCTCTAATCTTTGCCGAAAATCACAATCAAGCAAACAAAGAATTTCAAAGCAAGAGGCAGCGAAGAGAATCATTTTCTTCATGCGTCATCGCCTAGAAAAACGATCCACCCTCCTTATAATCAACAAGCTAAAACATCTTCGATTCATTGAGCAGCATTTGGTATCACTCTTCCCAAAATCTGGATTCAACCCAAATTTGACGTTCACAACTGAGAATGCCAAGCAAATATTACCAATCACTGCAAATAATCGTGCGTATCTTATCAAGGAAGAATCTATTCTTAAAACTTTGGATGCATTGGATCGTGTTGAAAGCAACGGAATCGAAATTATTCGTGAAAGAAGAAAACAAGTTGTTAGAATTGCACAGAAAATGTTAGAAGTGTTGGATAATATCAAGGATAAACAATGGAAAGAATTCAGTAAACATGAGCAAGAAGAATGTGGAAAAGTGGAAACTGATAATATGGAGAAAGAAAATAAACAAGAAAAATTTGGAAAAGTGGAAACTGATAATATTGAGAAAGAAAAGAATAACCATAACGATAATGATAAAGATTTTTCTCAAGAACGTGAGGTAAAATCTAATCCGAATGACATCGTAGAGTCAGATACCGATTCAAATACAAAATCAAATGCAGAGACAATTACACCTTTTATAATATCGGATGCTATTAACGAAAACTCTAATAGTGGATTGGAAGAAAATGATAATTTAATTAAATCCACACCATCTTTTTCCGAAAACACTGATACTACATCTAATATAAACGATAATATCGATAACAGAATAGCAATAAAAAACGAAGATAGCGTAGAGACAACTATCCCCGAAAATAAAAACATCATTCCTGCGGAATCTGTTGCAGCAAAAGTGATCAATGAAATTAATGAAAATAGTATTGAACTAGAAAAAGATGATGAATTTATAGTTCTATAAATGTATGAACAATATCGATATATAAGATAGCAATAGATTTATTTTTTTTCTTTATATCAAATTATATTTCATACAAGATAGCAATAGATTTTTTTTTTCTTTATATCAAATTATATTTCATAGAAAACATAAATAAATATTGTGAACTTTAAAAGTGATTTTTCACTAATACTAAATTGTAATCATACTAACGCTAACGCCTGTTATAAATGACTAAGCAAGGTTTTATGATTATTATTGGCTCTTTAATGAAAGTGAACTGCAATATGAAGCCAATACCACGAGGTTATAAATATGCAATGGACTTTTTGTAATAGGTTTAAACTTTGGGATTTATATATTTTATAATAGTTATTTAACATCATATATATATATATATACATGTATCTGCTGGTGGTTGCGACCACTTTTTATCCTGGGTTCTGTCGCGCTCGTTTTCTTTTATATCGTGATGTTTTATCGTGAATTTACAGTTCTAAAAGTGTTTCATCACAATTCTGTAAAAAAATCAAGATCTTCATTTCTTCATTAACTGACAATATCAATTCTGTAAAAAATTCAAACACATAATACATGTAAATACAAAAAACTTTCTTTTAATGCAGCGCAGAAACAATGTTAATTTTCCCTGAGCGTACATTTTCCCGGACCATGATCGTTACAAGCACAGTTCATGAACATGGATAAATATTTAACGTATATGAACGAAATAAGAAACCCACAAACGTTTTTTCATCTTATAAAATAGTCATTTAATAATTACGACAATAAAGAACAAGTATAAAACATGTATTAATGATATAGGTATAGTCAGGACTCGATTTACCAGTTGGTCAAGAATCGTTAAATGCAAAATCGAAGGAATAGTGATTTCGTTAAATCGAACGCTGACTATAACATAATAAATAGAATTTATTTTTTAAAAATCACCTCCTATAAGAAAAACCTCTCTAAAAGAACTAGTTTTCTATGGTACGACTGTACATTAAATGCACCTTACATGCATTACGACGACAGAATAAAATCAAACAACTCGGTGATATTGGAAGAAAGTTGTACTAGAAACCTAGAATTTTTTATCGTGCTTGAGAGGGAATACCAAAAGAAATAAATGAAAAGAATTTTTTCTAAATTTTGTTTTGTGGAGGATAATAAGAGAAAAAAAAATGTTGGCGCATTCAATTTAAAAGTGCTTATAAAGTTATGAATCTGCATATCGATATTTATAACTAACCGATTTTTTTGTCTCATTAAAGCGTTGCGAGTTATGTGATTAGTTCCTCTATATTTTCAGCGACCTCAACTAGTAAAAGTTAAGGTTGAGAACAAGATTATATGTAAACTTGTCTCCCCGTCATTTTTAATTATAATCCAAGAGAGGGATTTTCTCGTTTTTCATAACTTGTGATGCATTTATTTACCTCAGGTTAACCAAAAAATTTGTGCACCACTATTGGATGGATATCACACATGACTAGCAAGGCTTTTACCAAATTATATGTACATCACACCACACTCACACGCTAACAAATCTGAGAATATTGTACGCACCAAACAGTTTCACAGTTGATTAATATAGAAATGTTTGATTGTCAATATAAAGGATATTATATAAATCCGATACCCTTTATATTGTACAAGCCAATATAAGTGCAGATGGAGTGTTAAACATATAATGGTTTCTCTGTATTTATACTTTCTGGCT